GCTTGGATAACGAGAATTTGTTATGTTCGTATTGCAGGAATTGGTACATGATTTAAGAGAACGTTCCAAATTTTCTACATCCAAATTTCAAAGACAGAAATTCATGTCCCTAGATTTACAAATTCCTATAATCTCTATGTTCGACGTCCACAAATTCCCCAGCAGGAGTTTGTAAACTCTACATGTCCCTAGATTTACAAATTTCTATATTCTCAACGTTCAACGTCCATAAATCCCCCAGCAGAAGTTTGCAAACTCTACATGTCCCTAGATTTACAAATTTCTATATTCTCTACGTTCAACGTCCACAAATTCCCCAGCAGGAGTTTGCAAACTCTACATGTCCCTAGATTTACAAATTTCCTTATCCTCAAAGTTCAACGTCCATAAATCCCCCAGCAGAAGTTTGCAAACTCTACATGTCCCTAGATTTACAAATTTCCTTATCCTGAACATTCAACGTCCACAAATTCCCCCAGCACAAAATCCCTAGATTCCCACATACATAAATCACTCAATGCTGCAAGTCTTCCAAGTAAAAATCAATATTACTCGATAAAAATATTGTAAACATCGACCCTAGTGTCACACTCTGTCGATAATGTAGAAAATTATCAAAAATCAAAAGTTCCCCAAAATTTCACAAACCTGTCCCCTAAATAACTGCAGTGCGATTTCCTAAAACATTAAAATTCACAAACCTTCATCTACCCAAAAAGGTTTTCGAGCCGTAAAAAAATGCAGTGGATATCTTTATCCCAGAATGTTATGCGTTCTGAGAAGCACGTGTTAGAAGTCGATAAATAGCATGAAGGGCGGGCGCGAAACATGTAAGGATTCCGCAGGAAATAAAAGTGCGAATATATTCTCGACTTACGGTGGCGTCTGGTCGCTATAAAGAGCAGATGTCTCGCCAGCATGTTGGAATGCACCGACTGTCAAATACCGCGTCTCTTCTCGCGAACGAAACTGTCTACCGCTATCGAAGCCGGCGACCGCCTGTCTAGCGACAAGGATTCCTCTTCGCGTCTAAACCGATACCGCCTTATCTCGGCAAAAACTTCCCCCCTTCGTGTACAAACTTCCTGATCCAGACGTTCATTGATAAAGCGGTTTCGTGTGGCCTAACTTAGGTGAGGACCGAAAGGTTTGTGGATCTAAGTTTCTGGATGAAAGTTTGCGAATGACGGATGAAAGTTTGCGATGACCGGAGCTGAAGGAAGGCTTGGTCCGAGGGTGGTGACGTTTAGGGATGAAAACGGCCCAGACCGCGAACGCCGACCGGAGCGGACTGAGGGCGGTGGCTGCTGATGGAAAGTATTTGAATCCTTAGCCGGTAGGAGGGCATCTCGTTTATCTGGATTTCGAATTATCGCCGGGATAAACATCGCGTCTGATGCAACTCTGTTCGTTGTTGAGCCAGCGGTTAATGATGCCGATAAGGGCTAACAAAGTGAGACTTCATTGGGGGCTCTCCGGAGTTTTCCAGCTTTATCGTCGATGCCCCGCTACTTACTTACTACGTTGTTTTGTGAAACATTTCCTATTTACTCGGATCATTCTTTTTTCATGCATGCTCTGTTAAAGGGTGCACTTTAAACTTAGAAGGTCTTTCAACTGTGGAAGAAGGTATACACAGCACATAAGAAGATATCTGAAAGGATAAGTCAAATCTGTAGCATGTGCACATACTTTACATATCTTTCCAGGTAACTGTGTTGCTCAGATGACTTCTTGTGTGCCACGTATAGTATACGTATACGTTTGTTCCTCAGAGAAGTTAAATTTTGATTGTACTTTAGCAGTTTCCGTAGACTTCAGCAGTGACAACATGGCGTCTCGCGGAAATCAAAATGGAGGGCGGTGAAAGGAAGACAAAATGGCTCCTGCTCTCATAAGATCTTGTATAGCCTTCTTCAGATTTATTTATTCTCTTGCTACATTTAATAATGCTGTATATTTTTAAAAATCTTGAAAAGTCTTGAAGGTTCAATGAACTCTAACAGTGCATGACTTTGCCATAACCTTAAAAATCTTTGTCTTATAAGTTCAGTATACTCATCATACATACTCCAGTATAATTTACAGCAGTATGAATATTTTCCCAGTCAATTTTGATGATCATAATCTTTTACAGTGTCAGTATTCTTCAATATGTGCAGCCTTACACTTGTAATGGCGGACCTGAACAACCTTGTAGTCGTAAAAACTACAACCCTATTTAATCACAGTATTCTAAAAAATTGTAAAAATTCACAAGTTGCGTCTGTAAGGCTTGAGTGACTGAACAACGTAAAACAATGAGGTCAACGAAGGAATTTTGATCTCACCCGACAAACGAAAGAAGACATTTTGGAAGGTCACGAGGTTCACGTTTTCCGTGAACTTCCTCCGGGTGAATAAAGTGGGAGAAATCCGCGACAATAGGAAGATACGGTCGCAATCGGTTCGATAGCGTGCAATCTACAATTAAACGAGAAAAAGTGGAAAATCTATAACGGCGAATAAAAACAGCGAAACTGGTGGAAACACGCGAGCAACGTTATCTATTAACCTTGCGAAAAGCATGCTTCGGCTCTAACCTTATCGACGGAACAACTATACAGTACACTGAAATGTCCCGAGCTATAAACTGACCAAAGTATCCGCGATTTATCGGCTCGCAGCGTTGCATAGAGAAGGCGTTATGCGATGTTGCAGCTGGCAAAAGATCAAACGAGACGGCAGATAGGAAAAACGTGACCACGTTTCTTGCTTTTCTGTGTCTAAGGTTGCAACGCGGAAAAACATTGTTCTTGTTATCGTGACCGTCGAACGGATCGTTTGCTGTTTACCCTCATTAATTTCAACCAATCGTTTGTGACGATTCTGCGGCTTGGATTAGCGGAGACTTGGGGAAAATGGCGGCGCGGGGCAAGCAGGCGCCGGCACTTTATTCCTTCTTGCAGATGCTTAGACATGAACAAATTTTTTCAGCTTACGTTATTCTTACGTTTACATTTTGGGACGTTTAGAAACTTGGAAATCTTCAAATTTAAGGATTTGAGAATTAAACATTTAGAATTTTAAGTTTTGGAAATTTGAGAATAGAGAAAGTTTTAACAAAATTTAGTACTTTAGAAGTTTTGAGATTTGAAAATTTTTAAGCTTGAGAGTTCTCTCACACTTCATAACACTTTGTAACTAGGGACTCGAGGGACCCTAGAACCTAACCTACGCAACCCAGAGTTTTCACTAATAATTCCTAGGAATATCATGGAATTACAATATCCCTATATTCATAATACAAATTATTTTTAATTTGTATTAATTTGTCCACCATTCCCTACATCGCCATTTTCCCTACCAACGTTATTACACACTGCACGATAACTCACACAGCGATAACGGGACTTGCTTTTTTATCGTTCGTGTTGGTCTCCTAAGACCTCCCGCTGATTAATTGTTATTTTGCTGTATTGACACTCTGACTTTAGACAATTATCTTCTAGCTGGTTTACGTAATCACTTGACGAAGGAGGAAAGATTCTTGTGTAACTGGACCTGATTGCAGACATGCTGCGAAGATTAAACTGCAATTGTGTTCATTTTGATTTTACAAATTTCAAGGAGTATTTTTACGAGATAAATCAAAAATAAATATTATTTTAAATATTACAGTCTTTTGGATAGGTTAGGTCGCTGCATATAAAATGGCGGATTAAGATTCAAGAATTCGATGCGAATTGTATGGTGTCTCCTACGCTATTTCGTTGAGGGCCGCCATTTTGTTGAGGTACGCCATTTTACGTACCACATCGTACATTTATAGTTATGGAAATTTCCTTATAAAACAATAAATGACGTTATTAAATACTTCTATATTATAGATACAACGTTAGTACCTAAAATTAGCAAATGATTCAAAAAGAAATGTCTATAAAAATGAACGTGTTCGTCTCCACGTGAATGACCCATCATCACAACCCATACCGCCATCATATTTTCCAAAAATCCTAATAAAATCATCTGTTACCAAATCTCAGTATCGTTGCTGGAGTACTTAAGCACCCTAACAGGTTCTATATCAGTGGCCCTAGGTCTAGGACTTTTGGCCCCCGCGGTAATGGGAACAGAAATGGTGACGTTCATATCAAAATTAAGGTTAGCATCGATCTGGGGTTCAGGACTAGAGACGGTCTCGGGATAATTGATCCTCTCCTTCAACAACTCCTCCTGCAACTCCTCCGACGGTGTTCTACAAATCTTGAACGACTTCTCCGGATTAACCGAGAACTTTTTGATAAACATTATGGGACTGTTCGCCATTCTGTAACTATCGCTACGTTTCACTTTGCGTCCTTTGGACGCTTCGAACGTCCTCGCGGCACAGTCGGCAAAACAGGTTTCTGCGGGGTCCTCCATATCGGTAGGACTCGAATTACTATTATTATCTATAGGCTTATCTCCGTTCCTAACCTCGTTGTCGTTCGCTTTCGCGTCTACGTTCGCAACGTCGCCATGGCATTCCAGTCTCGTTATTTTCCTACAGAAGTTAGGCGTGTCCAGATCGGACACCAGTAATTTCCTACTCAATTTCGGCGTGTTACCCGTGGGCCTCAGATTAATCGGATAAAGTCCCGACTTCTCGAAATCGAGTCTCAGGTTGGTGACTTTTGGGTCCGTTAGGTCCGCTTTATTTACAGGTCCATGTCTCTGCGGGGTGGGGCTATCTCTAACGAGCTCCGGCGGATGGTTCTCGTCGCGGTCCACGTTCGTTTTGTTGGAACAGAGCTTAGGCTTGTTCGAGTCTAACAATTTGTTACTCGGCGAGAGTGCAACAATGTCAGCCTTTTGGCAGGTGCTTTTAGCTGAAAGCAACGGACTTCCGTTTGTGATCAGAGCTGTGCTAACCCTGTCGTTGCGACGAGGATTGGTCGCGAGTGTACATAGTGCGTCTACTCTACCGGCGCAGCCAGTGCAATCACGTTCGTCAGTGCTCGTACCAGAAGCCGTCTTACCTTCGTCCTCCTGCACGTTGACGTAAGCCCCGCGAACTTGCCGGTGAGGAGTCGTTGGACTCGTGGGACCCACCACCATGGACGGTGTTCGCACGTAGTCCGGACTGGCGGCGCGTTCGGGACTCCTCGCGGCCCTAATGATCACCTTACCCAGCTGGGGCGACGTTGGGGGTGTGGACTTGGGCGCTGGACCATCCACTGCATCGTTGCTCCTTGTAACTGCCCGAATATTTGGGGTTGCACGGTGCAGCAGTGGCGACGGATTCGGGGACACTCCCTCTCTCACGAATGGACCTTGAAAAGAACACAAGCATAAGTACCATTGTCCAAATTAACCACCCGGACTAGCATAACTCTTAGGGCCTAATGTGGAAATGACGAAGAATCGCGTGGACTCTCAGCAATTTATGTTTCATCTGAACCAACGTGGACATCCGATCAATACCTGGATTGAACGTGGTATGTGCGCCCTTCCTCCTCTTCAAGCTGTCCGAAGAGTAAACGACTTTACCCTCCGAGTCCAGAGTGACCCTCGCCCCTTGCCTCTTCCTCTCCAACGAGGAGTCCGGCTTCTTCGGCAGCTCGCTTAGACTGACATACTCTGCGTCCTTCTTGAAGATGTCAGAGTTAGCGTAAGTTGACGGCTGGACGGGAGTGGCGGTCGAGATCGAAGCTGGATCTTGACGTTTGTCGTTGTTGTTCCTCACGTCGGCTATGGTCACATAGTCGCCAGAGTCTGCGCCCGCTTGATCTTGAACCGCGCTCTTCGGCATGTGCTTCCTGCTCGGATCTCCGTTCCTAACCTCGTTGTCGTTCGCTTTCGCGTCTACGTTCGCAACGTCGCCATGGCATTCCAGTCTCGTTATTTTCCTACAGAAGTTAGGCGTGTCCAGATCGGACACCAGTAATTTCCTACTCAATTTCGGCGTGTTACCCGTGGGCCTCAGATTAATCGGATAAAGTCCCGACTTCTCGAAATCGAGTCTCAGGTTGGTGACTTTTGGGTCCGTTAGGTCCGCTTTATTTACAGGTCCATGTCTCTGCGGGGTGGGGCTATCTCTAACGAGCTCCGGCGGATGGTTCTCGTCGCGGTCCACGTTCGTTTTGTTGGAACAGAGCTTAGGCTTGTTCGAGTCTAACAATTTGTTACTCGGCGAGAGTGCAACAATGTCAGCCTTTTGGCAGGTGCTTTTAGCTGAAAGCAACGGACTTCCGTTTGTGATCAGAGCTGTGCTAACCCTGTCGTTGCGACGAGGATTGGTCGCGAGTGTACATAGTGCGTCTACTCTACCGGCGCAGCCAGTGCAATCACGTTCGTCAGTGCTCGTACCAGAAGCCGTCTTACCTTCGTCCTCCTGCACGTTGACGTAAGCCCCGCGAACTTGCCGGTGAGGAGTCGTTGGACTCGTGGGACCCACCACCATGGACGGTGTTCGCACGTAGTCCGGACTGGCGGCGCGTTCGGGACTCCTCGCGGCCCTAATGATCACCTTACCCAGCTGGGGCGACGTTGGGGGTGTGGACTTGGGCGCTGGACCATCCACTGCATCGTTGCTCCTTGTAACTGCCCGAATATTTGGGGTTGCACGGTGCAGCAGTGGCGACGGATTCGGGGACACTCCCTCTCTCACGAATGGACCTTGAAAAGAACACAAGCATAAGTACCATTGTCCAAATTAACCACCCGGACTAGCATAACTCTTAGGGCCTAATGTGGAAATGACGAAGAATCGCGTGGACTCTCAGCAATTTATGTTTCATCTGAACCAACGTGGACATCCGATCAATACCTGGATTGAACGTGGTATGTGCGCCCTTCCTCCTCTTCAAGCTGTCCGAAGAGTAAACGACTTTACCCTCCGAGTCCAGAGTGACCCTCGCCCCTTGCCTCTTCCTCTCCAACGAGGAGTCCGGCTTCTTCGGCAGCTCGCTTAGACTGACATACTCTGCGTCCTTCTTGAAGATGTCAGAGTTAGCGTAAGTTGACGGCTGGACGGGAGTGGCGGTCGAGATCGAAGCTGGATCTTGACGTTTGTCGTTGTTGTTCCTCACGTCGGCTATGGTCACATAGTCGCCAGAGTCTGCGCCCGCTTGATCTTGAACCGCGCTCTTCGGCATGTGCTTCCTGCTCGGA